TGGCCTTAACACTTTCTTGGCCTTTCTGTTACACACATACCCACACTCACATATACACACATGTATGTGTATATATACAATTTGTGTAAAGTGCGATATGTAACTTGAGTGTTCAGATATTAGAAATTAAGATTGGAGGGCTGGGGATGTGGCCAAGCCGTACTGCGCTTGCCTGGCATGCGTGCGGCCCGGGTTCGATCCTCAGCACCACATACAAACAAAGATGTTGTGTCCGCCGAAAACTAAAAAATAATTATTAAAAAATTAAAAAAAAAAAAGAAATTAAGATTGGAATAAAAGAACCCATGATTACTCAGCTTATAACTACCAGGTCACCTACAAGTATCCCATAAACTGCCACTGATGAAAGTGGTGTAGCCTGTGAATTTATTGTTATTCAATGACTTCTGACATTGTGGAAAGATGCACACGGTGTTTCAACCATGTTAATGGCACCCAGGCTCCCAACGCTTTCATTTGTCATCCAAGGTATTTTGGAAATAGCCCCATGTCAGTGCACATCAAACACTTCTCATCGGGATGGCTGCGCAGCTTCCCAACGTGCGGATTGTTGTTAACTGCTTGCTAACCCTACTTCGGCCCGGGAACTGTGAGGACCCAGAAGGATCCAAGGAGGGGGGACTTGGCATCCCAGGTCTCGGTTCCCGCCCAGCTTTGCTTTGCTGACACTAGGGGCCCAAGTTCTCCGCTGCTCCGATCACGGAGGGGATCGTGATGAAAGAGGTGACCCCAAAGCAGAGGTGCGGGCAGCACACGAAGTTAACCAGGGACGGATCACACACAGAAGCATCTCACACACATCCAGCGCTCGGAAACAAGAAGCTCAAACACTTAACAAGTCTTCCTGGGCTCGACAACCGACCTCGGAGCGGCCACGCTCGAATAAACGACTCACCTCTGCTCAGGTCGCTTTGCTTCTTGACCCCAAGCTTAACACCAACGTCCCTGCTGTCCCTGCTCCTTTAAGGGGACCCAGCGCCGGTTAGGCTACTTCCGCCCCGAAGAAAGATGGCTGGGGGTGGGGTGACCTGAGGAGGGGCGTGGGGGACGGCGGAGCCCCGGGGCGGGTGAGGACCTTGGTGACGTCAGTTCTGGGGCGGGGAGGTGAGCGGTGAAGTGAGGAATGAAGTGCCGGCGGCCGGGGGCGCGGCAGCCGACAGCGAGGCTGGACGGCCGGGGCAAGAGCTGCCTGATGGGGCCAGGGACGCGAGCTGTCACCTTGGATGCCCACTCACTCGTGCCACGGCGCGCGAGCCCCCTGCCAGCACCCCGAGCCCGCTGCGCGCTCTTACCCAGAGTTTCCGCCGGCTCCCCAGGTCCCCGTGTCATCCCCGGTCCCCGATGCCCTCTGCGCACACGCTCCCCTTCCCGCAGCTGTCCTGGGCTGGGTTCGTGGCGCGTCCTCTCCCCTCGGACGCTCGCTGCTCTTGGTCATGCGAGGACAGTGCCCTGACCTGGGGGCAGGACTCCTGGCTGGGTTTTTGGTACCGGTGTGGGCTGGGGTTCCCGGGATGACCGGCTCGGTGTCTGAGACCCCGGCCCCTGTCCTGCCCGGTGCATCCAGCGGGTCGGAAGAGCCACGTCTAGTGAGGCCGGGGCCTGGCCAGGGTCTAGGTGGGCAGAGACGCAGCGCTGATGGTCCTGGGAGAGGGAGCACGGCTTGGGGTTGTGGGTTCTTGGTGAGTCTGCTACGGTGTTGGCCGGCCCTTGCCCTTGGTTCCCGGCAGGAGTGAACCAAGACCCAGCTGGTCCTGGGTTGAGGCACTTATTGCCTTTTTTGGGAAGGAGTCATGGGTTGGGGGTTGTGTGGCAGCCTCTTCCTGAAGGGGACTGGGCTGTCAGCACAGGGTGGGTCTGGTGAGCCACGCTTCTCCTGGCACTTCTTCCCCTGCGTTCTGGTTCCACCTCTGCCATGGGCAAGTGACTCTCCTTCCCACCATCAGCCTTGTCCCCATGCTTGCTGAGGAGTGTGGGACTGCACAGAGGGGCCTGGATGGCCTCTGAGTCTTGGTGGCTCTAGGTGCTTTACTGGCTGGCTTGGGTCACCTCTGTGCCCTTGCTGGGTTGCTTCCTGTCTCCCTGTGACTGTGTCTCACACTGAATAGTACCTTTAACCCCTAAAATTAAACTTCACAGTGTTAGACCTTGCTTGGGTGGGGTCTGATGCCCTCTTTGCCTCTGTTCTCACAACACAGTGCCTGGAACAAGTAGGTGTGACAAATGCTTGTGACTCAAGTGAATGAACTGCTCAGAGTCTCCAGGAGCCCTCATAGACCAGCCACTGGTACACCTCATCCRCAATGCAGAGCAGGTCATGCTGCTGGCACAGCCTGGCCACCTGTGGGAGGCCAACCTTACAGGTGACTGAGACAGAACAAGCTGCTACTGCAGTAAGATCTTGGCCAGGCAGGAGAAAATGCAGACAAAATCAAACAAAATGCAATCGGCTAGGAAAACTTGGGGATCTTTTGCCCCGAAAATGGGCAGCGGACTCCATGTTGTTTGCATCACCATGGTAACCATGGGGTGCCTGGCCGGAAGAGAGGCTTCCTGGTCCCACCTCCCACATTTTTGCGGACTTTCGATTGGCTCTTCCACAGTCACTCAGACAGGATTTCTAGTCCCGCCTTCCAGCCACTAACTGTACTACTGTGTTTCAGATTTCTACCTGAGCTGCTCAGAGCCTGTATTTTTAAAAATGCCTACCTGTAAATGCTAACCAAAGATATCTTTTTCAGACAAAATTTAATTCCACAGGTTTCTATGTTACAGTCCTAAATTTAAGTTAGTTCTAAATAACCTGACTTTTCTATATAGTTGTGTTACTAAATAATGTTCTATTGATGAGAGATATCAAACATRCTTCTTTATATTTTACTTTTAATTTTGGAGGTTATGTGGATGCATTTGCTCGACACAGGAACAAAGCCGGCCATGTTCCTGTGATGACCAAAAAATCCTTATTCTCATTTCTGACTATAAGAAGTAAATATGTATGCACAAGGATTTTATTTCAGTTACATCAAGTGGCCTCACATAGAAGAGTGCACTCCTAGTTAAAAATAAATTAAAATGGATCCAAATATTTTAAGACCACGTGGTTACATATAAAGTTAATACAATTATAATTTATGTTCTTATTTTTAATATATATTTTTTAGATATTTAGATAACCTATATTTGTTAATCTATAGAATAATTAGCACATGCCTAATTGATTAG